TTTTGAACTTTTGGGGGGGGGGGGTTATTTTGTTTATTTGCTTGTAACTCAACTGGGTGTAAAGCAGTATTTCATGTGGTTTAATTCGCATTTCTCTAATGAGTAAGCAGGTTGGGCATCTTTTTTTGTGGGATTACTGGCCATCCATGTGTTTTTAATTGAAGTGGTTATCCAAGTGTTTTGCCCATTTCTTATTCACTTGTCTTTTTATTATTGGTTTCTGGGAGTTCTTTGAATAATCTGGACCCAAGTCCTTTGTGCACGTATGTGCATGCTTCCCTCAGCCTTTTGGTTGTCTTTCCATTTCCTAATGATGTCTTTCAATGATCAGAGTGAGAAGCAGGGCCCAGGGTCCAGAGAGAGATGTGCAGAAGGCGCCCAGCCTGGGAGCTGAGCTGAATTTGAGCCAGAATCTGATTAGCAGGGGGAGGGCACCAGCATAAAGAGTGACATTTCTCTGACATTTGTCATTAAAATAATAACATTCACAATGAGAATAATCATCCACTTATATTTATGGAACTCTGTCTGTAACAGGGCAGTTTTAGTTGGCAGTGAGGATGGTTGTAGACACAAGTCAGTTATATGCAGAACAGGTACCAAATCCCAATTCCTGGGAATTTCCTCTTTCTAAACAAGCCGCTTTCTCCCGTTCAGTGAATAAATATGTCCTGGCCTGAGAATGCATAGGGCTCAGACCCCATCTCAAACCCGGCTCTTTGCCAGCTTGAGCCAGGTCTGCAGCTGCTGGAAGATGCTCTGTAAATGTGGGAGAATTTTGAAAGTCAGATCCCAGCACTGGTGAGGGGAGGAACATGCAAATTAGTATGCAGATGAAATGTAAATCACCCAGAGCTTTTTCTGCCTTACCTGGCGCCCTAGGAGGAGGCTAGGGGAATCTGAGGGCCTCTCAGGTGCCATATCCAAGCAGTGAGAGGCACTAGGGATGAGAATGGCTGAAACTGAGGGCCCCAAGGCCTGTGTTACACTTAGCACATGCCAGGGGTCTGCATCCCCTGGAGAGAAAGGAGAGAATGGTGTGCTGAGCTGGGGCAAGGTGGAAACTTCGGGGCCAGGTTCTGAGGGCATGCTCACCATTAACGAACAGCACCTGGGTGGTCCCTGGGGTCTGGCCGCCATAGTAGGAGTTTGTCTGGGCCACAGCCTGGCCTATGGAGGAGGGTGAAAGCCCAAACACCTGCTCACACAACTCTAGCTGGGAGGGCAGTGCTGGGAGCCTGGAGAAAGGACATCCAGGATCCTCACAGGTGACATCTGTGGAGGGAGATATCTGTAAGTGTGGGGTATAAACTCAGCTCCCCAACCTGCTTCAATAATCGCACGGCTCTCCCCAACAATGACCAATGAGTTCACAGTCCTGTTAGAGGGACACCTCTGGCACTCGACTGATGGCCCAGAATGATAGGGCTGTGATGGGATAGTGTCAAAGATGAAGCAAAATGACTGTATATGAAAAATAGGGTATATACTTTCATTAGAAGGGGCTATGAAGCATGAAGATGGATCTGGTTGAGGGAAGAGAAAATAGAATGTGTTTTTTTGATAAGGAAGGACATAAAGGACATAGGTGTTTTCTTTTTTGGTAAAGAAAAAAAAGGAAAGTGATTTTGTTCTAAAATAGAATAATAAAAGGACAAAAACTGAAAGTTGTATGTAGTTGCCGAAGGTTTGTGTAAGTTGCAGAAACTCCGTGGAGGGATCTTGAGAAAATAACTTTATATATGGGTCAAGCTAACTAAGATTGGGATGGTAACTAGGTCAGCTGCATTAAGTATGATTGCCAGACGGACTGCTATTAGGCTGTTCATTTACCATGTTAGCTTATCTGCACCAGTAGAAATAAACGCATTCCTTCTATGGATGTAATTGTTCACTTCCCTTCCTCAGAAACACCCATTGCCTTTGTCTCCTAATTGGAAATCTATTTAGGTTTCTGCCTAAATCAGTGTCTCTCATATAGGTATTCTTATTGATCTCAAATAAATGCTTGTTGCCTATTACCTATCCCTTCCATAGCCTTTTTTTTTTTTGCTTTTTTTTTTTTTTTTTTTTGTTTTTTTTTTTTTTTTTTTTTTAGGTTATTAGAGGTGAGGGTTGGGCCAGGCACTCACAGAAGCCAAACTCAGTACAAGTCTGGTACAACCACTGCCGGTCACCCACACCGGACACTTGGGGTTCTGTGACCCTCAGCTGCGCCAATGTCTCTGCTCGGGAAAAGCTTAAACACCTCTGGCCCAGGCTGTGTATGACAACCTAGAAGACAATATACATACATACATACATACATTTATAAATTTCTCCCCTCCCCCCGTAAGCCAGGGTCTGAAAGCATAGATCCCTAAAAGTCAAAGGTCAGAAGTCAGCAGAGGGAGTTCCTACGTTCTCCTGGGAGTCAGTGGTCAGAGGAGGTAGGTGCCTGGGTCCTTGTGGGTTAGACGTTAAGGTACTAGATGACTGGGACCTTAATTACCTGTGAGAACTTGGGCAAGGGATAATGACTTGGACCTCAGTTTCCTCATCTGTAAGTGGGGACAGTAATAGTGCCTACCTCCTAGAACTACTGTGAGAAGTCAATGAAATAACATATGGGAAGCACTTTGCACAGCTCTTGGTGCAGATAGTGCTGTAAAAGTGACAGCTGGATTACAACTGTGGATTCCGAAGATGGCGGTTCTGGGCTCCAGGAGGAGAACTCTGTCCTCAGGGCTACCTATATTTTTTCATTCAGTCTATAACTACTAATCGACACTTGCCTGTGCCAGACACTGTTGCAAGCCCCAAGAAGAAGACAAAACAAGACAGGAAAACCGATAGCATAGTGGCTAACTTTGCATAGTGTGTGAGCCCATCACTGGCCCCTCTTTACTTCACCTCCCCAGGGCCCTGTGTCATCCCCCATTTGGCAGATGAGGAAAATAGGGTCCAGAAAGGATTCGCGGCTGCCCAAGACTGCACAGCGGAGGTGGAGCGGGAGCCCTTGTCTCCCGCCGTGCTCGGGGAGCTCACCTGCACGGCCCGGCGCAGCCCGCGGTAGGGCCCGGGGCGGCTGCCATTGCCCCTGCCCTCGAGGAGAAACCCGCAGAGCCGTCGCACGCTCAGCGGCGCCCCCGCCTGCCGGTCGTACTGCACCGCGCCGCCCACCAGCGCCTG